CTACAAGCACGAGCTACAGATCTGTGACTCCCGTCTCCTCAACTGCATGTGCGTTGGATGTGTCCTTTAATACTCCAGTTGGCAGACAAACTCCCAATAAAACACCACAAAACAGCGGCGGTCGTAAACGTCAGAACAATAGCAGTCCAGCAATAGTRCATGTAATTACTCCTACACCACTAAACGTACAGGTAGTTATTACCCAATACTATTTTATTGAACWCCTAATGCTTTTTTTTACATTTGACTCGAATTTATTTACATTTGATTATATTTTATTTAGACCATAAAACAAAAACGCAACCACTTGGAATCTGTACTCGAAACAATGAAACTCAAATGGAAGAATACTCAAACGGCTGTAAGTGAACAGCCCATCGATTTATCATATCTACTATCCGGACGCGGTGCAAGGCAGCGCAAATCACAAGCGTCCGCAGTAGCTATGGTTATATCTAACACACTCGCACCCACTACATCCACCAATTCAATAACAAGCACGTCATCCTTAACGACCAACGAGTCAACTTAACACATGAAACATAAAATTAGTTCAAAATGGCAGGAAGTCTATGAATTATATATTTCATCTTAGAATTAGGTTAATTAAGTTTGAAAATGGTACCCAACTGTAGCATGGGTACTATATTGTAAAAATGTAAACTAACACACACATACACAAAAGCGATCAATATAAATTATTTGATATGAATATGTATATATATGTATGTACTATATACATAGCAATTAATTATTTGTAAATTTACGAGTATTGGATATGCAAACATGCCTATGTATAAATATGTATGGTATTGGGACATTCAAATGAAATTCACTTTATCATAGCCATTTTATATGAAAAGTACATATTGAATTATTTGTTATTTTCTTTTTATTAAATATCACTATTAAAAATATTTTTAGCGCATGCTTAGGCTATTATTATTAAAATTGTAGCAATTTAAGTTGTTTATTTATTAATGGAAAACTAATCGACCAGTCGATTTTAGACAATTTGTATTTTCTCCGCAGACAACGTTATTTTGGAATTCACATATTTATTTTTCACTAACTTATTTTATTTTAGTTGTATTTTTTAATGAATTTCTCGAACCTCAATTACTGTAGGTGTTGTATTTTTATATAAACATTTTCCTTGAGTTGTATGAATTGTTTTATTGCTTATTTAGTTGTTAGCAGCACTTATATAATTTGTATTAAAAAATAGCATAATAATTGCCTTTTTTGTAAAWTTACTAACTGCTTGTCTATTTTTAGACTATGGTAGTTTCACATATTAACTTGTTTACCTTCCATAAATATTTGTTGTTAAACTATTGTAAAAGCAAAAATGGATTATTTTTCCAAATTTAACAAAAATATATATTTTTTCATTGAAAATCTGAAACTGTGTTTGGTATTTCGAATTTTAGTAACATTGGCAAAGGGATAGTTCCAGACAATTTTTTTCTTGCCCGATTAAAAATCTGGATCCGTTTGGTTACATAGACCCAATAGTCGTGGGARCGGTAAAAGCTACTGTTCTCAGTTTTGTCTAATATCAGCACGACACCTGTATGTCGTAAAAACAAAATTGTATTAAAATGGCAACACCACGTGTGTCTGACGTCTCACAATTGTCATTGTTGCAGCTGGTGGTTTTGTCTGGTTATCTGGTCTTTCCCGATTTCCTACGTTTTGTGTGTAGCGATTGATGCACAAATTCTAGCTAAATTGTGCAAAATATCGCTCCAATTTCGTATAGCACTGAGGTAATGTTAACTTAAACAAATTGTGAGTAACTTGCCATTAAAAGTTCTATTAAAATTGTGTAGAGTAGGCAATTCGGTTAAATTTGCTGTCGGGTAATATAGTTCAAGAGCATACATATCCATTGTGTGCGATTAGTTGTTGCTAGTGAAAGCATAAATTGTATTAAAAGTTAAAGAAAAGAGCGCAACGGCATTAATATGAGTCAATTCACCGATATTTTGGAGCGTGAATTTCCAGCCATTGACAATGAGCTAAAAGATTACGTAGAGGGTAAGCAAATACCAAAAAATAAATTTGGTTGCGTTTGATAAACCTAACTTGGAATTGTAGGTGTGCTTTGTGGTAGTTTGGAAGATTTTGAGTCATGCGATGATATATACGAAGCTGTAGGAGATATCCTGCAAAGCATTGATACGGGGAAATCTGAGGAGAACATAAGGTACTTCAATCCTAACAAAATTTTTAAAGCATGCTTGTAAATATGCAATTCTTATGCTTTATCAGAGACCTTTGTGATGAGTTCTTTGACATAATTAAGAAGAATACAAAAAATGAGGTWCGTAAAGTATTAAATGCTCCCGTAAATATTGCCGCTATGGCCAAAGAGATGGAAAATGTTGATAAGAATATGCAAAGCATATGGCTTACTACGAAAGATGGTGGATCGGTGAGTACTTGAAAAAAATATTTTCATATTTTATTTACCTATGCTCCCCATGTAACTCTAGAAAGTCAACAGCAAAAAGCTAGAGAAAGCCGAAGCAAAGCTACAGCAGAAGCAGGAAAAGCGGCAGGATGTTGTGAAATCAGCTGTTGCTGCACCCGTCAAACTGCAAACTGCTACAGCATCACAAGTGCTGAGTAAGAAGAATACGAAAATGGAGCAAAAAGGCACAAATCGATCAATGGATATAAAAATTGAGAATTTCGATTTGGCATTTGGCGATAAGTAATTAAACATATAATAGTTTTGAATTAGTGCAAATATCTCYAAAATGCATATTTTTTTTTACTACAGAGTTTTGCTGCAAAATGCCAATTTGCTGCTCTCTTTGGGTCGTCGATATGGACTTGTCGGCCGTAATGGTTTGGGTAAAACGACACTTCTACGCATGATTTCAGACCGCCAATTGGCGATACCGTCACACATCAGCGTATTGCATGTAGAACAAGAAGTTGTTGGTGACGATACAAAAGCCGTTGATAGTGTCTTGGAATGTGACCTTGAACGTAGTCGGTTGCTCACACGCGAAAAGGAAATACTTACCACTTTAAATAGCGGAGTGCAGGACACGAAGTTAAGTACAGAGTTGAACGAAGTATATGCAMAGTTGCAAAATATTGAAGCTGACAAAGCGGTGGCAAGAGCTTCTGTTATATTGCGCGGTCTGGGTTTCGACGCTGATATGCAGCAAAGACCAACTAAATCATTTTCCGGTGGTTGGCGTATGCGTTTGGCTTTAGCACGTGCACTTTTTTCCAAACCTGATCTACTACTGCTCGATGAACCGACTAACATGTTGGATATAAAGGCCATCATATGGCTTGAAAATTACCTTCAATCCTGGCCAACAACATTGTTAGTTGTTTCTCACGATCGTAACTTTTTGGAAACTGTTCCAACCGATATCATACATCTGCATTCCCAGGCGCTTGAGGCTTACAAGTAAGTTAAAATAATATGTGTTGTTAATTTTTAAATATGAATTGGGTATGTTTTTTTTCAGAGGTAATTATGAGCAATTTGAAAAGACAAAGACTGAGAAATTGAAGGCCCAACGACGAGAATACGAAGCACAAATGGCACACCGCGCGCATGTTCAAGAGTTTATCGACCGTTTCCGTTACAACGCAAATCGTGCATCTTCGGTACAATCGAAAATCAAAATGTTGGAAAAGCTGTAAGTTATTATATTTAAAAAGAAGTCAATGAACATAGGTATTCCTAAAATTCTTGTATCCTGTTGAAGACCCGAATTGAAGCCTGTCGAAAAGGAAGTTGAGGTTAAACTGAAATTCCCCGAAGTTGAACCATTAAATCCCCCGGTCTTAGCTTTATCAGAAATCGAATTTAGATACAAGGACACAGATCCATTACCCGTTTTTAAAAATGTGAATCTATCAGCTACCTCAGATTCAAGAATATGTATTGTAAGTTTCAGCTTGAAACATTGTTTTCAAACGTATAATTTTAAAATTTATTTTAATAGGTGGGAGAAAATGGCGCAGGTAAAACTACACTTCTTAAAATCATTGTTGGTCAATTGACCACAATACATGGCAACATCATTTCGCATCGTGGTCTGCGAATTGGCTACTTTGCGCAACATCATGTTGATCACCTGAACATGAATACTACTTGTGTGGGTGTATTGGCAGAACTCTTCCCAGGGCGACCGGATGAGGAATATCGTCGGCAATTGGGCAGTTTTGGTATATCAGGACAATTAGCTTTGCAAAGCATTGCTAGTTTGTCGGGAGGACAGAAATCTCGTGTCGCTTTGGCGAAAATGTGCATGGGTATAAAATTATCTAATTACTTTTGAATGTTTTGAAATTAATAGTAAATATAATTTCAGCCGATCCTAACTTCTTAGTGCTTGATGAACCTACCAATCACCTGGATATTGAGACCATTGATGCCTTAGGTCGAGCTATTAATGCATTTAAGGTAATTAGATTGTTGTTAATTTAAATATGTATTTCGCTGATAAAACAACTACTTGTGCTTCTTCAGGGCGGTGTAATATTAGTATCTCACGACGAACGTCTGATAAAGGTAGTATGCAAAGAACTGTGGGTGTGCGGCAATCGTACAGTACGCGGCATGGAAGGCGGACTAGATGAATACAAACGTGAAGTTTACAAAGAAATTGAAGCAGCAAATAGTTAAATTAAATTGTAGCGCATAACTCTATTTTGTATTCGTTCTAATTGTAATTTATGCACATGCACTGTAAAAGTAAACTACTTTGGTATGATTTTACAAAAGCATATAAATGATTAAAATACAAAAACATGGAAAAATATATAATTTCATCATGCGATAACGCTAAAAGTGTGTGGCCTTTGTTTTTTTCTTGTTGAAAACGCACAAAAATAGAGTACAAGGAAAGATTTTGAGGTCGAATAAAATTCAAAGAACTTATCATGGAATCGTATTTCGGAAAAAGAATTTCAATGATTGTCTATGAGCTCATGATATGAATAATCAAGTACTAAAACGATTTTCCAATTCACCACATATGTTTTATTTTTAACGTTAAAACTGCTAATTATAATCAAAAGTAAGTGATAACTTTAAGTTATCTTAAACAATTAGAAATTAGCCAATTTTTTTCGATATTTAATATTTTAATGCATATGTAATATATTTTATATGTTTAATGCAATTACATTGTCTTATCCACCCTTAACACTCCCCAGTTAAGCAAAACCGAAAGTARACGAATTTAGTTCTTAGTGATACCAATCACACCACAGCCAAGACGTGCACCAGCGTTGCCAGTTGACTTGCTCAATTCGTGGCCACCTTTGCCCAAATCATCGGGATCAGCATGCACAACAACAGTACGTCCCACGATGCTATTTGCTCCGAACAATGTAATTAATTTATCGCTGATGTTAACCTAGCAGAAATATTTAAAAATAAAATTAGTATTAGAAATAAATTGAAATTATTGGGCTTTGAAACCTTAGTTGGTCCATCGCCGCTGGCTTCAATATTGCCCAAATCCCCCAAATGACGATTTTCATCGGTTGGCGCACCATGCTCTTTGCCAGCTGGATTAAAATGTGGCCCAGCTGAGGTGCAACCGTTAGTGTTATCTCCAAATTCATGTACATGGAAGCCATGAAGACCTTTAGAAAGTCCAGAAACTTCACCAGTGACTATTACGGGTGAAGACTCATCCTAGAAAAAATACAAAATGTTTCACAAAAAATTTTCAATATRAAAAAATATGTAAATAAATTCCAATTTAAATTACTTGAATAACTTGGAAAAAGTTGCATGTCTTAAGAGAGGTGTATACTTATGCACTTTAACTAAATACATAGTATATATATAAATATTCTTATGTATCCAAAATAAATGACAACGCATTATAATATTCATCAACTACTTGAGAAAATAAGCGTTTTACGTATATAATTAAATATTCTATTACAAATTTGATAACTAGCTCTCAATTGGTTGTTATTTCTTAACCGCAGTGGCGTCTCGGATCCCAAGTACCCCAATGCTAATGCATATATATTAACACATCGCAATGAAACTGATAACTAACTATGTACATAGATATCTGTGTAATTATTATGGAGTTTGTAATCTATACTGAAAATGCTTATTCATGCTTATATACAGTAATAAACTTATGCATATGTATATGTCAGGTATATGTAAATAAAGACCTTAGTCTATTTACCTAATTTTTAAATATTCTCTTTATTATTAACAATTTATATATTTCGGAAATTTAATCTCACAATGTCAGCCGGTGACATGACCTTGGACCCTCAAAGTATTAAAGATAGATAAAAAGGCTGTTTCTTACCTTCTGTTCGAAGTAAACGGTACCCTTGACATCTCCGTTGATTACACTTACAGCTTTAGCAGGCATTATTAAATATTTTATAATATTTTTATAATAATATAAATTGTACACGCGTTAAGCAAAATGCGACAACATTGAACAGTGCGAAAGTCGATTATGGACCGAATGAATTAAAGGTAAATCTAACAGAACTACGGCGAAATCCAATTGGTACCAATGGCGACAAATTGAAGGGTTGCATGCGTTATTGAGCAAAAATTCGCAATAATAACGGAAATGCAATGGAGGAAGTTATTGTGACTTTAATAAAAGTCATTTCTTTCACATCATTTAAAAAAAATCGTTAATTTGTGGTTATTGTATATGGTATGAAATAAAATTTATTAAAAATATTTTTTTTTGTGAAATAAAAGTATCACCCTGATTTTGCTATATTCTGAAAACGTCAGAGCTGATTTTCAAATTAAAATTGAATTTAAAATAACAAAATTTATTTGACAGCACAAAAAAAATCGGAAAATATTTTATTTTAGGCAGAATAATGTCTGAATTTACTGATTTAGTTTCAATTTGTAATGAAACGGATATTAATAATGACGAAGTCAAAGAGTTTAATTTTGACGAAAACAATAAGCTGTTGTTAATACGTCAAAACGATCGAATCTGGGCCATCGGAGCAACGTGTCCACATCAAGGTGCACCTTTAGTTAGAGGCATATTAGGACATGGACGCATTCGTTGCTCACGTCATGGTTCTTGTTATAATATTAGGACTGGCGATATAGAGGATTTTCCGGGTTTGGATTCATTACCAATGTATCCGGTTGAAATAGCTACAAACGGAGAGGTTCAAGTGCGTGCGAGAATCAAGGATCTTAATAAGATACGGCGCACAAAAGAAATGGTAGAATACATTAAGTCTGACGAGCGTATATTTTTGTTGGTAGGCGGTGGAGTTGCAACGGCTACATGCGCGGAAACATTACGTCAAGAGGGCTACACAGGACGCATAATAATATTGTGTCGTGAGGACTATTTACCTTACGATCGCTCACCACTCTCAAAAGCATGGCAAGGTGATATAGCGGAATTATATTTCCGCGATAGCGATTTTTATGAGAATAATAATATTGAGGTAATATTGGGCGTGGAGGCAATTAAATTGGACACAGCCATGAGAACGGTTAGCTGTTCCAATGATCAACTAATTACATATGATAAACTTTTCATTGCGACTGGTTCAAAACCAACTAGATTGCCTGTCAACGGTAATGATTTAAGAAATGTATTTTTCATACACGATTATAGAGATCTCCTAACAATAATGCATGTGTTAAAATCAAAAACAAATTTAGTATGTGTAGGAGGGGGTTTAATTAATATGGAATTTGTTTCCTCTATAGTTACCAAAGTAAAATCGGTGAGTATGGTATTTAATAGCATAATTAAAACTTATTGAATGTTAAATTATCTATGTTAACAGATTGTGATGGTTTGCAATAAGAAATATCCTCTAGAGAGCACTGTTGGCAGTGATGTCGGTGAGCGTTTATTGCAATTATACCGCGAAAAGGGTGTCCAAATGAAAATGGAAAGTAGAATTAAAGAAATATTGAGCGAGGATGGAGTTAGAATCTCTGAAATAAGAACAAGTGATGGTTATAAGTATCCATGCGATGTATTAATCATTGCTGTGGGTGTAGTGGCCAATACTACTTGGCTAATCGACTCGAGCTTGCCCATAAATGCTGATGGCACAATTGATACRGATATGCATTTAATGACGCTGGTGCCCAACATATTTGTGGGCGGTGATATTGCCAATGCACCCCTCTTTTCGAATGCTAATCAAAGACAAAACGTTAAACATTTACAAATGGCACAATATCATGGTTATGTGGCTGCTATAAATATGGCTGGTACTATAAAAGACCTACGGGCAGTACCTTTTTTCAACATACACCTCTTTGGTGCAACGTTTTCGCACGCTGGTGTTGGTAGTATAACTGAAACTTCCATATACGGTGATTTAAAACGTTTAAAATATCTAGCATATTTGTTCGATTGCGATGGCAATGTCACATCTGTTAACACTTGCGGCTACGATGCTACGGTGGTCAACTTTTGTGAATTGTTGTCACAAGGAAAACGACTGCATCGTTCTGACGTAGTAGACAAGTCCAATCCACATCAATGGATGGAGCATTTGCTCGATACCAGACGTACACGTTGTGGTTGTTGAAACTTTAACTTCTTGCTCTTATCTAACGATTTTACTAATTGTTCTTCATTCGCATGCTTTTTTTTTTTTTTTTTTGCTGCTGTTCATACGGATATGCTTCAAATGCTTCCATACATATACTGTACTCATATGTATTTACTTTACTAAAATACTGTAATAATTATGAAAAACACCGCTGTTTAGAACGTTTTAATTTAATAAAAAATTAAATCTGAAATTACGTAATTTAATTTGTGTTGTACGTTTTTAGGCTAATCACATTTTTTTCTAGATGGTGATCTAGTTTTTTTTTCTAGATCTGAACTGTTTCAATGCTTGATTATATTGTWTATAGAAGAAAACTACACTTGAAATTTCGAAGAAAAATTGAAACATGTCAAAACGGCACATTTTACATTGATATTTTGAAGATTGAAGAATACACAGAGATTATCTATATTCTTTGTATTTTTCTCAATACACATTTTGTCCAAACATTGAAATTGAGTTTTCTTTATTATAATAGAAATAAAGTGCAATCAATCATCATTATACATTTTTCTTTACCATAAATTTGTTGTAGGGTTTTTTTATGTTGACTTGTTTTATAATATTTTTTTATTTAAATTAACTTTTTTGTATTAGTTGTAATTTGTTTTTCTAGATTTAGGTTCGATATAATTGTAGGTATGTAGATATAGGTAATTAATTCTTTTGCTCCTTTTCAGTTGCCACACAACTATGATTCATTTATTTTGCTTTTACTTACTAGCTTTGCTTTTGTTTTGTATACACCGTCTAGGCTTTCTGCCAAACATGCTTCTTAATTCTTTTTAGCATTAATATTTATTACTCGCATATTAAGTAATTATTTTTCCCATCATTTAAAATGTACTACTTTCATTAGTTTACAATTTTTTAAATTAAATGTTTGCTTTTTTTGTTCTTTATATATTTTTTTGTTTGCATTTCGCATTTTATAACTTTTTTGTTACTTTTTACTCCCATTCATTCTAGTATAATATATAGCATCATCAAGCATATTGAATTCGTCCAGAGTATACAAGTACATCTATACAGTATGCTAGGGATACAATTTTGATAATCGTTAAACGAATAAATCATTACAACAACAAATATTAAAGCAATATAGGGAGTTTGTATATATTCATATTTTAGAARGATTAAAAAACAATAAAACAATTATTTTTGTTCACATACTTTGCTTGTCAAATTCAATATACCGATGGTTGGCTTCATGTGTTTCTTAATTTTTCTTGTGATACCGGTTTACTGTTTTCATTTTCTATATCTTCAACGAAATATTTTGTAAGTAATGTTAGTTTAACATTTTCTCAATTTGTTTTGTTTTGTGTGTGAATGTGTTTTCTATTATATTATGTCTTCTACTACACTCTGACCCACTGTAGTTTTCTAATGTCGCTTTAGTCCAATTCAGAAATATATCGTATTTATAGTAATTATAATTAAATAGAACTTATCTAATACTTGCAGTCAATTTAGATGAAAGAAGACATTTCGAGCGAAATTTAAAATTCATGTAAATCATCAAAAGCGCTGTTTACTATTTGTAGACAGTTATTTACTATTAAAAGCTTGATACAAGGTTTCATAGACAATTTGCCTTTGAATATGGTCTTCGCATACTGAAGGTTTAATAAAAAAAATAAAATAAAAAAAAACGTGAAGTGTTTTACACATTGCTGATTTGTCTGTTAAAATTATTACATATTTCCGAATTGGTTTACGCATTTTACATTTTCTATTTATAGTAAATCTCAACTTTTGTGTGCTCTAGTTTTCTCTTTTTAAATTTGTTGTATGTATGTGTTTGGGGTATTTTACTCTGGCAAATCTTTGCCATTAGTTAAATTTTTAATATTTTACATTCTTTTGTAAATTTTTTTTTAAATTACTTGCAGACATTAGAAGAAACTGAAACAGAAACAGCAACATATCAGAGTACTTCGGATAAATATTTGGGGCGTTTGGGAGCTTCGCATGAAGCGCTGCTGCCGGCGCCATTACCACCGCCAATACTGCAACCTTCATCGCCAGATTCCATATTGCCACTGTAATCTGTGGGCATTTCCTCGTATATAATGTCGGGATGCAACGTTTGCACTTGATGTTGATGTTGTTGTTGCTGCTGTGCGCCAGCTGCCATAGCATGATTACGTTTAAGTGCAATCAAGGCACCAACACCGTTGCCGCTGCCACCACCAATGGTCACTCCGCTCTCGTTGTGTAGATGTTGTTGTTGTTGTTGTTGCTGTACACCGGCAATGGTTGAATTTTGATTTGAAACATAGTATGGGCTTCCGCTACTGCTGAAAATGATTTGTTTAGAAATGAGTACAAGCGCTAGATAGTTTCTCATAGTAATGAGTTCATATTTTTTAAATTGGCAAAAAGAAAATAATAAAAACAATTTAGTGTAAAACTGGTGCTAACTTTAGATTGCAAATWAAATAAATATAAAAAATGTAAATACTAATTAAAAAAAATTGTTCAAAATGTAGGCACAAAAAAAGTAGCACCGAAAAAAACTAAAAAAAATAAAATGGTATTAAGCAGGAGAAATCATAGCTTTAAGTTTTTAATTTAGCAAAACTGGAAGAAAAGATATATGTTCTGATGCAATATAATAAAAAATATTGAAAACCAAATCAAAATTACTTGTATTGATTGTGGGAATTGTTAGCCGTCGATTGGTGCATATTCTGAGTTGTGTTGTTGTACATAATATCTGCAATTCAACGCACATTATTTTATTGTAATTATACTAAAAGAAAAACAAACGCGCTATCGCTTGCTAGTTGACTTATTACCACCATCGGCTGCGCGTTGCTCAATAGACATGCCCGGCGATCCAGGGGCTGATTGCAAAACGAAATCCTGAAGTGGTGAACTCTCACGCGAATTGTCTGCATTTTGATTATAATAAACAAAAAAAATKTAAATAAAAAATTATTGAATTAAATATATTCAAGACTCGCTGTACCCATATGACTCGGTGAGACTGGTGCCGAACGTGGCATGCCGTATGTCGGACGAAAACCTTGGCTGCTACGTTGACGCCGTTTCTTGTAACTGTGATCAATCAACTTGGCGCCACTATCAGGATCAATACGCCAGAAACTGCCCTTGCCCGGCTCATCTTGAGAGCGTGCAACTTTAATGAAATACCTAAAAATAAAGGTAAATATTAGTTATACTGGCGCTGAAAATACAATGTAGGCATTTTTTAACGTTTACCTATTCAAACTGAGATTATGGCGTATGGAGTTCTGCCAACCCTTGTTTGTTTCTTTACGATAGTACGGATAATGCTTGACTATAAATGAATAAATGCCAGAAAGTGTCAATTGTTTATCCGGTGCTGCGGATATAGCTTGTACAATCAACTGAGCATAGCTATATGGTGGTTTCTCATTGTGGTTATAGCTAGCTGTTGATGGTGTTTGGAATAGGTCTTGCTGAAAAGAAGATATTTCGTGATTAAAAATATTAATCCATTATTTTGTGCAATTGTTTTACGTTTTGTAAATTGTTGTTGGTATAGTTGTTGTAATTGGCTTGGTTCTGATGAAAACCTTGTCTGGGGCTGGCTGGACAACTATTTGCAGCACTTATTGTACCTGTAAAATTTAAAGATATTATTGTCATTGCAATTGTTACTTAAGCGGTTAATTATTACTAGTTATTACATAAAAATATGCATTATTTTTCTACTACTTAAAAAATCTGATAAATAAATGAAGCAATCGATATCCAATCTTTTTGAATATAATACACTATATGTATATATAAAGACTCAATAAGATACTTTAATAAGTTTGGTGATGGTTTTCGCTAGCAATTGAAAATTATGACAAAAATAAATAATTGAAAATGTATGCTAATAATCCTAAAAGTTAATCTTACAAATAAATGCATATTCCCTAATATTCCACGTGCGCGTTTTTAAAATAAAATTGTATTTTCCTTTATGTAATAAGTATTTGTGTAAATATTTACATGTTACAACCTCAACATACCACATTTCCGTCTATTTTTTTATGACATAAGAGAGTAGTTTTAACCTCATTGACACTTTTGTGTTGTTGTTGGTAGATTTCTAAAATTAATTTAGAGCCACGTGCAACGTTTGCAATTAAAAATTTGCACAACATATAATTACGCATTTATGTACGCAATTTGTAAAAAAAAAAAAAGATGCTAGAAGGTAGTATACAAATTCGCATGTATTAGTGTAAATATATGTAAATATGACATAAATGTACTTTTGCAGATAATATTTACTTTTTGTTTTGTTCCTATTCGTTTTTTCAGTGTGCACACAAAGCGGCGCTTTGTTTCGYATTTCATTGTTTTTGTATTTTCATTTGTTTACACTGCGTCAAGTGTAATGTAATAAAGTTTCTACGCCAGTAAGCAATAGCAAAACAAATACTAAAAAATCAAATGTAATTTTTTCTGAAACGTAATTAAATCTAACGCTATACAGTAAGCATTTGCTATAATATGCAATTAATTTTCGCTCAGTGTATAATTATGCAAATGCATACACATTTGCGTTTAAATAAGAAACAGTACAAATTCCACTTGCCAGTTGGTGATAGATATGGGCTTTTTTGCTCCTTCTTCGGTATGGATATCTTTAGTGGTGAGTACACATTTGAATTATCCATATTCGGCAGCAGATGTGTTGACGATGACACTGCACTAGAGGACACATGCGGTTGATGGTGATGAGATACATGTGTGGACGCATGCGGTGTTGGTCCAGACGACGCGTGCGGATGATGGTGATCATCGGGTGGCGCAGGCGAAATAATGAATTGAGCACAACCTCCRCTCCCACCGCCACCGCCACTTCCTCCTATTCCACTGTTATTCTGCAGGGCAGCCACATTGTTGTGACTATTGTTATGATACGATATGCCACTGTTGTTCGAGTCAGTTAGCGCGCCAGTARCATTTAAAGCGCCACCATGTACGAAACTCTCGAATTGTATGCGAATCTCGGTGCTGGGAAAGCGAAAGTAACAGCTGCAAATAGGGAAATTGTATTAAGCAATTTTAACACACAAAAAATTGCAAATATTTTAAACTAAAAGAAGTAGCGTTTCGATAAATATAATCATGCAATTCTTCTCCGCGCTTTTGAGATACATATTATATATTTAATACAGATAGACAGGTAACTCGTTCAATATTGATTATGGCGCTGAACTTACCTGTTAGGTAATCGAAGCGGATCAGCATTTCGTCGTTGCAAAAAATCATCGACGAAAATGCCATTTTTACTTAGACACTGAACAAAAAAGTCACGTGCATCTCCATCGTAATGAACYTGAAAATGCTTTCTTGATACTAAATTGTTTTCAGCAACATGAAAGTGCACATGCGATGTTGATGAGTTTCGTCCAATAATAGTACATGGCTCGGTGATGTATAACAATTCCTGGTCGTATTTTAGAAAGCCGAGCGCGTTGTCAGGTGCTGTTAAAACGTTTGATGCACCGCCGCCCGAATTACCGGCGGTTGAGGCATGGGCAGGTGGGTGATTGGTATTCAGATTGGTGCCTACATTAGGCCCAACACCACTGTTGGTTGTACTGCTGCCACTACCAGCTGCAATTACTACCGAATTGGTGTTWGCGTTAGATGATGTTGATGTATTCATGACCTCTAAGGCTGCGCTACTAGTATTATTATTACTGCTGTTACTTGTGTTATTGTTGTTATTATTTGTTAGTATCGCACCATTGCCATGATGCAACTGGAGCATATCCTTGGCGATGGCTACAGTGGCAGCGTCGATGGTGTCCGTTGTTGCTGCACTATTTATTGTGTTTGAGGTGGGCGGGGTATTGTTTGTGCTACGAACGTTGTTTATGTTGTTATTGTTGTTGTTACTACTGATAGTATTTATATTGGTTGCCGGGCCGGATATAGAACCGTCATCTACTTGCTGAGCTGTATGTGGTTGTTGTTGGTGGGGGAAGAATTCCATTTGTATGCGGCGCTTTTTTCTTAATTCTGCTTTTTCTACACTTTTTTCCTAACGAAAAAATGTGTTAGCGCTACGCCACAATTGCGTTTGTTTTTCTGTTATGATTCTTATATTTTTATTTTACACAATTTACTGTCCCTACTAAAATACTAATTTCTCTTTCTAACAAAAACTATATAAATTTTTTTACTTGCACGTTTTGCACACTATTCACATTCGGCCACTGTCCCCTTGTTGCTAATATTAACACTTTAATTCGTCACTTTGGACAATAAAAACTCAAGGTTTTTTTCCTTTTCTGTGTTTCAAAAGATTTTTCCAAATTTAAATTGTTTTCCGCACGCTTTGCGCACTTCTCTTTTCAATACATCCGATCGATCCTGTTCCGTTAGCAGCTCACATCCCCTCTTCTATTTATTTCACTTTATTTTTTGGCTCTATCGTTCGTTGGCTGGCTATGGCTACGGCTCAGGCTCTGTTGGCTAATGGCTGATTGCTATGTTGTTTTTGTCGTTTTTGTTTTTCTTACTGTTGTTGTTTTCCCTGCCGTTTTATGTTGTTTGTATGTTTGTGTTGTGCTGAGCAGAACTGCGAACGAGAAAAATAAACCAAAAAAAACACTAATATTGAAAAACACACAACGAAGGTACAGAGCAAAGGCAAAAACACACATACACGTACATATGTCTATTGGAAAAGGAAAAGCCGCTTCAATGTTGGGGAGCAACAGCGCGCTCATAAGCGGCAGCCCCAATATTTTTTCTTACATTCAACAAACCTTACATTCCCCAATGCACTACACTTACCACGAAAGTTAAAGTTAATTTTTCAACAATATTTGGATATATATTTTTGCCACACGCGTGTTTACAAACAAAATTCTAAACCGAAATCGAAAATGAAGAACTGAAAATTCTGCACAAAACACGTTTCTTCTTACCAACGAGAAGACAGGCAACACAGGGTGTGTTGTGTATCTGGTGGTTGGCAGCACTGTGCTGAATACACACGCAAATGACATCTGCAGAATAGGGCACTTGTATGGAGTGCAAGGGAGTTGTTTCACTACCGAGGGAAGGGTGGAAGAAAAATAAATACAAATACCAGTGCACGCAACAAAACGAGCGCGATTTAGTAAACATATGCGCAAAGTGTCATGCGCGGCAAGGTGGTGGAGACGAACAAACTGCACTACCAATTTAATATTTATCTTTCAATTTTGGTTAAATAAAAACACTTAACATTTTTGTGTTTAACTACGAAGAACAGTTACTTTCAACTTGTATTCTACTAAATGTTTTGAAAATACTTCCTAAACGCTRCAATATGTTATCACCTTCACTTTTAATTGTTCACTGGGTTATTTTTACAGCATTGCCAATATAGTTTACTTTCTTCAATTGTCAGACACCTAGAAAAGTGGAATAGTACTTACAGCAGTGTAAAGGGCACACTATGACCGAGTTACCGGAAAATTTGCAAATTGTTAAGACAGAAGGACCACATATACCGGAAACGGATGCACAGCCGCGTCGTTTTATTAAGGAGCGTCTAAATTTGCACGTGAAACGACGTCTCCAACAAGAACAGGAACCCCAAACACAACTGCAACAGACACAAATAATTACTCACCCTTCTGGGAATCAAACACGAGAAATAGTGACAGCTGCAACACCAGCACCAGCAGCACAACAATCTCCACAATCAGCAAACGTGAACGTGAATTCGACAGTAAACGACGTCACTGCGCCGACATCAACATCGAAAAGAAAAGAGAAACAACAACAGAAAGAACCAGCCAAAACACGGAGACCCTATCAAAAGCGAACGGACAAAAACACCACCAAAATACAAACACAATCGCTGACACAAATGCAAATAAGCGCTGAACATGGCGGAAGAACTCGTAAAAACAAACGTCACAAAGCACAGGGAACATTRGTAGGTAACGCAGTGCCACCGTCGGCTGGAAATGTTGTGMATAGTGGAAGCGCCGGTGTTTTATGTTTATCGCCCGGCGTTGAGGAAGGTAGTGGCGGCGGTGGTGACGAAATGGACGGTCGAGATATATACTCCCGTGATAAAGAGAAATGCCCAGATATCTTAGGTATGGTTTTAAGTGGTAAAAAACGCGCTTTATTGCAGAATTCGGAAGTGAAGGAATTTTTAGCTAATATTATGTCCGCTTTTAAAAATTAATACGTTATTTACGCTTTAAATAGTGTTGTTATAAAATAAATATATATAATATTTGGAATGGAAATTCTTAACAATGTTTTTGATTTGTATATCATAGTCATTAAATTTACGAAATAATACAACCCTGTTTGYGAACAGCTGATCACCCACATTTGGACATATTTTAGACCGCTGGATAGGCCACATCTGGTTCATTTATTATTTTTATTATATAAAAAATGAATAACTTAACCCGTTTGTTGGTTAATTGTACATTAAATGCTTCCCGTCATCAGCTAATAAGAAACAGCGGCATTGTAGCCGCTGGTATTCAAGTTCGTGGAAAGTGTAAGGTGGTAGAAAAACCGAAACCAGGTGCTGGTCAGCAATTTCGACGTGTGGTGCACTACCCTGAAGAATACACCGTAGAACCATTGAAAATCACTCATTTAGCAGGGCGCGATCCAGTRAGCGGACGCTTGGTGGCCAAAGGCATAGGTGGTGGAATAAAACAGAAATTCCATTGGGTAAAATGGGTACGGGATGGGCCATTGGAAGGACCTCCACAAGAAGAACGTGTGATAGAAATAATCGATGGTGGTTGTCGCACTGCAAAAGTGGCACTTGTTGGCGTAGGAAATGAACTCAAATACATATTAGCAACAGAAAATATGAAAGTGGGTGACATCATCAGAACTTCTCGATTTATACCGCGTATACCTGGTGAGTAAATTTGTCGAATAATATAATAAATTTGATATATATAACTTTACGTATATTATAGTACGTCCAAATGAAGGTGATGCTTACCCCCTTGGAGCTTTACCAGTTGGTACACGCATACATAACCTGGAGAAAAATCCGGGCTATCCATTTCATTTGATACACGCCGCAGGTACTTTTGGAACAATTTTAAGAAAATTCGATGACAAAGTCGTGGTTCAGTTACCATCAAAACGTGAATTTGCATATGATCGTACATGTATGGCTACAGTTGGTAAGATCTTTACTTCAATATAGTTATGCATTATATGTATTATGTATAACATTTTTATTATAGGTCGCCTATCAAATGTTGAGCACAATAAAGAGCATATTGGAAGCGCACAACGAATGCGTCAACTCGGCAATCGCCCACGTTCCGGTTTGTGGAAACGAAAAGAAGGCAAACATGGCCGAAAGATACGCAAATTACCGGCAATGTCTCTCACATCACCACCGCCAAAAAAGAAAGATGAAGTTATTAATTTAACTTTGAATTTGTAGATACATTGAACAATAAAACATTTAGTAGTTCTGTGGTTATTAAAGTTTAATGAACAAATTTATTTTGCATTCTGTATCGAAAAGATTTTTAAACTATGTTAKTATGAATATTTAAATATTATTTTACAATTTACGTGTCTTCATTGAAAAGCCTTGACCATGGAAAGTCTCTGGCTCACCTTCTTCACCGTCCTTTTTAGGAATACGTTCGTTGATTGGCTTGATAGAACGGTCAAACTTTAAGTATCCAAACTTGTAATCGTAATCGGGTACACCACGAGCGAGTACCTGCAGTAACGATGATTTTAAGGCATACAGCTTTTATTTAGAAATTGACCATACCAACCCTTTTAATAACAGGTGTGTCCAGCTGATTATCTTTCTTTTTCTTGCCATCCAGACGTACACCAGAGCCTTTAAATGTTTCAACTACTTCCTCCATAACGTGATCTTGTGGTTCTTCTACAGGAGGCTCTTCAGTTTTAGGTTTATTTGGTTCATACCCTATAGCAGCTTCGAATTCCACCTATATATTCACATTAATAGTCTTTTAAAATTAGAAATATATGTGTTTGACATGGAACTTACATTCATATCACATTCAATAATGCTAACAGCATTACCAGGACGCGTTTCTAGCACACATAATTCATAAACCTTTTTATTATATTTGATAGCAATTACATCACCGGTGGTAAGACAAGCAAAATTACGAAGAGCATTTTCCAAAACAGCTTTGGGATTAGTAATATCTAAGAAATCAGTGCTTTGTGGTTGAAATTTTGAAAAGGTTGCCACTGGCAAGCTGACACTTTCAATGCGAACCGGACAGCCTTCCGTAAGCAAAAGATTTTGCATCATCCACAAAGGTAAATAGCATTTACCTTCCTCGGCAACGAATTCGAGTACACCTGCATGTGTTGTGCGTTTTTGCGCTCGATTCGTCAGCTTGAAGAGCATTGGATATTCAACGTTGTGGCGTGTAAGCACATCTAACGCCGATGGTGGCATAATAACTACATACACACATTATAGAAAATATTACGCTAAAATGCATGCATTTAGGCATGTCAAATTAAACACCTACTTTTGCCACCACGTTCTAAATCTTCTCGTTCGTTACCGGGCAACATGGCTACAGGGAAGCACTTGTATGTCTCCTGGAAGCTGCGGCCATTATCCAGGAATTCCATATTGAAACCGTTAAAATGAAACTTTGACAGCAAAAATTAATTCTATTAGATATTGTTTATATGTGTTGTTATTGAAATATTTACCATTATGTATTTACCGTACACAACTCAAAATTTTTGCAATGACTCGCTGTTATTGTTTTTACTTTGTTTACAAAACCAGCTGTCATTTATTGCTACTCACAATGCTGTTTCTCTGAATTTTAACTTCACCATTCACAATAATTTAGAAGAAATAAACTTAATAAAACTAAAAAAAAAATGATAAATTTATTGCGTTCCACATTTAAACCAAGTATTCTTTTCTGTGACAACTATTTCCAAATGTGTTTTTTTGTATATTATACATACATATATAGCAAAATAGTTGCTGTTATTTAGTTTAATCTCTATATATTTTACTACACATAAGTATACTCCAAACCAATAAGAACACAACTTAAAGATTACTTTTATTGCAATGATTTAATGATAGCCTTGCGAAAACTATTTGCTATGTTTTTAATTATAAAATAAAAGGGAGCTATGTTTTTTTAATTATAAAATAAAATAAAATAAAAATTTAAGCGGAAGAGGGTAAAACGGAAGGCGCCAATTGTCAAAAGCATATTCACACAAACGCAAAAATCAAAAGGGCAACTGAACTTGTGTGCTCTTCTACGCGCTCGCTGCAGTACAGAACAGACAAAACACATGCGCTTGCTCGATATTGGCGCAGTCAGTCCAGTTTCGCTCTCACTGGCAGAATTTTCCATTTATCGCTGCAGTTGTCGGAAAAATTGATTTCAAAATATTTCCCATACAAGTGAGTACTACATAGAAAAATAATTGCAAAGTGATTAAGTCATTGCAAAGATTATTTAATGTGCAATGAAAGTACTAAACTAATAAAAAAATATAATCTATAAAATGCGAATGTTATAAGTGAGAAAAAAGAAGAAAAAGTTTTAACGGTTCGCAGTGAGTAAAATGTGTCTGGAAAAATGTGGGCTGATGGAGCGAGTGAAGTGTGGAGGGGTGGTATTTAAAGTGCGGTGGGAGATTGTAAAGGTTGCCGAGAAAGGCATGTGAATGTCAAGATGATAAAAGCAAGCGCTGATAATAAGTGTCCAGAATTTTCAGGTAGCAGGACATAGGTAAAGGAGTAAGCAATTCTAATGCGGCGCAAATACACATGACACACGAGCGTAACTTTGCGTGTGTTGAGAAAAGCCGCAATTGGCGCCACCCGAAACTTACTAACAATTATTGGTAACACTCAGAATCCAGCAAGTCTCTAACTCCTTTGAAATATCCGAGCAATTAGTGTAATAAATAAAGTATCCAATTTAAAATTGCCTGACGGGTAAACAAGGCAGTTTTATTACACTAATGCAACTATTATCATCGCTGATGCAATCAACACCTGGGTTAAAAATCAATATATGAACAATATACATTGGTCTGGCACTGATTGGATGGGTGGGTGTGTATATGCGTCTGAAGGGGTGTGTTGGTGCCGATATCCCGGCAGAGGGATACATAAGTGATCAGTGACTGTACTGTTTGATTTAAAACAACTTTACAGATATCCAAGAACTTTTAGTTGTGCGTTTTGAATTTCAACCGATTTTGGCCGGCAACTGACGAAAGTTATAATTACTTAATATACCCACAGGCAACAACACGAAATATGTACATATACATGTACATATGTACAGCCTAATCTGAAAAGTGTGTGGCTGCCAAACAGCAGCTCAGCAGCTGCTTGTAGATATGTATGTATATGATATGCCTGGTAGTATCTTTAGCCATTCTGTTTTTGTCATTGTTATTGTAATTATTAAGAGCTGCTGCTCTTATTCCTGTTGCGTTCACGTGTACTTGAATGGCGTGTACTTGAATGGCGTGTACTATTCCTGCTATGCTTATTGTATTATCATCCACTTTCAATTACATTTGAAAAGCCAGTCATTTGTTGTAGTTTTTGTTCTATACATATGTATAGTTATAATTCCTTTATGTACAAGTTTGCGTAGGCAAACCAAATCCATTTTAATGTTTTGCTCATCGGTCCAAATTACTTAAGTACTATACATGCGCTTACTTAAATGTATACCCTTATATTAATACATATGTATGTACGTGTGTTTGTATGTATGTTTCAGCGTCTCTAACTCCCTTTTTTATGTTTTTGCGAATTGGGTTTTCATTATTCATAACCTTTGTTGTACAGTACTCTTGAGTCATTCAAAGTGCGCTGACCGTCCATCAGTCTTCTTTTTTTTCTCTTCCTTTTGTATCTTAACATATGTATTCATATAAAATTTGTGTATAAGTAGTATATACATAACAAATTTAGCACACAAAAATTTATTTGTTGTTAAATATGCACCTTTTTTTCTATTATATATTTCTTTGTCTAGACTATATACTGAATTAAGAAAGAAACAAAAATCTTGTACAATTGAGAYCTAAGCTTAGCTCTTTTAATTTATGATATATTAGAACGTACCCTTAGGTAATAAAACTATATATGCAAAATTTCGTGAATATATCTTGTCAAAAAAAGTTTTCATATAAGAACTAAATTTAAAACGGTTAGCTACATATATACATMTATATTATAGTGATCCGATCTGAACAATTTTTTTGGAAATCGCAACATTGTTGAAGACAATAACCTTGGCAAAATTTTGTGAAGATATTTCGTCAAATGAAAAAGTTTTCCATACTATATCTTGATTCTTATCATTCAGTTTATATGACTGTATAGTATATTCTTTAGAGGCTCGATATCGGCGGCTCTAACAAATGAACAGACTAGTTCGCCTATATACAGACGGACGGGCAGCTCATCATATATGTTACTTGACATGTTACTTGTGTTTTCAAAATAAAAATAAATATTTGTTTATACAATTTTCCAATATTATAATGCGTACTGTACCACTTACCCTCGACATTTTCTCTAAAATAGTTAATCCGAATAAAAAGAAAACAAAAATCGTCTATAGTTTTGCATAAATAGGATGCCATTTTTTCGAAACAACCTTTGTCACGCTTTTTAACTCAATTTTCAATTACTCTTGTAATACCTCAAGACGCATATTTCTTTTTACATTCGATCTATATATACTTTTTTCAATACGCAGAATTTTAGCCAACAGCTGTTGTGTACCAAATCATATGTCAAATTTAAAATAAGTAATGAAATTTATGAAAGATCAGGAAATTTTAACGTCTCCTGCTGTCAAATTATAATTATTTTCAACAAAATTCTACAGCATTGATATTACCTAATATGTACATATGTATAAGAGAACATTTTTTATGAAATATATATAAAAATTTTATTTTTTAATAAAACAAAATAACAATAAAAATTGTTTTATAAAAAAAAATAATTTTTTAATAAAAAAAACAATAATTTTTTATAAATAATATTAATTTTTGATAACAAATATGTTTTTATAACGCTATCTTTATCGCTAGTGGCATTATTACATATCAGTACTTATTAAGGCATCCACATGCCGATTTTGGTTGTTATTGTTTGCTGATTTCCAATTTTGCTCACATATACACATTCCAATGCCTTCGTTTGTTTGTATCCTTTAACCATTGTAATTACTTTGGCTGGTGTGCGCACAGGTGTCCTGCGCTAGCTCATCTTCATTTATAAATAGTTGTCAGAAGTTATCAACGGTGATTCTGCTCTTATAATTAACGGCTTAATATTCTCTTGAGTTCCTAGTGGTTGTTTTACCATATGTAAAGGCATACTACTAGGGAGGAAACTAAAACAGGTGAGATTTAATCGAAATATTTTGACAATTAAACCTTTGGAAAATCGGCGAGACAATACGATAGTTGTGAGTATGGGTAGCGGGAAATCTAAGGGTTTAGCAGATACTACCCGTAATAGCTACAAAAAATTTTCAATATTTTTTTGTAGACTTTCCTGAATTTATAGTGCCCACCAGTCGCATATTCCRCACTATTAAACCAAAACTATTAAACTTTTCGGATAAATTCTCAAACATGTGAACATTTGATAACAAAACATCGATTTTTTGAAATTTACAAGTGATTATAAATCCTTAAAGCATTCAATGTGRGAGTTTGAAAATGGAAAGGATCCGGCTTTTTATCCTGTCAAGAACTGTCGACTCGGTACCAATACCCGAAATTACTTTTGGAGTGTTTCTACTGCTACAACAATAATAATAAATTTGAGCGATTTATATACATATGTACACTGCTGAATCCTTCTACTAGACTTCCCCCTACGTTGCTCATTGTCTTTGCCCGAATAAATACTGCCGAGAAATTCCCTCTCATTTAGGGCTTCAACAATTAAACGATGGCACGGAAGTTCAATGTAAGAAATCAATATGAATAACTGTACATTACAAAGTCAAGGTAAAGACGGCAAAAATRTAAAAAAAATAAATTCCATCGAATYAGCAAATTCACTGCTAATGTGTCAATGGGGCAAGGCATTCATATAAGGCTCGAGTATTGATAGCGGCACTTGCGAAAGCACATACGAGTCAATACAAATGTACATATGTATGCACAGGCATAAAAGCGGTTAAAGCTAACGATCGCATTCAGTTAAACATGCAACCTAAAAATAAATGGCATAAAAAAMCTATCGGCGTGTTGATTAAGCGCTGCAATGGGAAAACTTCTAAAAATATATAAATGATTTTTTCTATTTTTTGCTTTGCGACAAGCCGACTATGATCTGAAATAAGCGACAATTTTCATTATCTCGGTGTTCAGTGCCTATGTTTCACYCTTAAGTTATCTGCTTTACTTATATAAGGSCAGCTGACAGCCCGCGTAATCACCTCGCGACTTTCAAATCACATCACATCACGACGYGAGAGTACTGGCCAWGTACTGGCCAGTACGGTGCCTGCGTTTCTTTTATRGCGCCAACTTTGAGCCAGCTTCCCGCGAAATCACCACGCGGCTKTTAAACTACATCACCTTGCGACTGTTAAACTACATAACATCGCAGTGCGAGAGTCACCTAATGACTTTCCAGGCACTATGCCTGCGTTTCTTTTATAGCGCTAGCTTCCCGCGAAATAACTTCGCGACTTTCAAATCGCAACACGTCAGGGCGTGAGAGTCACCCAAGTACGGSCCAATTACGGTGCMTGCGTTTCTTTTAAAGCGCCAACTGGCAGCCAGCTTCCCGCGAAATCACCTCGTGAATGTTCAACTACATAACATCTCGGCGCGAGAGTCACCCAAGCACTGGCCATGTACAGTGACTGCGTTTCTTTTATAGTTCCAGCGGGCAGMCARCTTCTCCCGAAATCATCTCGCGACTGTTAAACTGCATGACATYGCGACGYGACAGTCACCTAAGCTCWGGTTAGGCACGTTGCATGTGTTTGGTTTATAGCTCCAGCTGGCAGCGAGCTTCCCGTGAAATCACCTCACGACTGTTAAACTGCATGACATCGCGACGCGACAGTCACCTAAGCACTAGTCAGGCACGGTGTCTGCGTTTCTTTTATAGCTCAASCTGGCAGCGATCTTCCCGCGAAACCACCTCACCACTGTTAAAATGCCTGAATGCAGAGTCACCTAGGCACTGGCCAGGCACGGTGCCTGCGTTTCTTTTATAGCGGCAACTGACAGCCAGCTTCCCGCGAAATCACCTTGTGAATGTTCAACTACATAACATCACTGCTTTTTTTAGCGCCAACCGGCAGCCAGCTTTTCGCGCGGCTGTTAAACTACATCACCTTGCGCCTGTTAAACTAGATACCATCACGGCGCGAGAGTCACCTAAGCACTGGC